TTGCGTCAGGTTATGGAAACATGGAGTTCAGTGTGGCTGGCTGACTGTGGTCAATAGACCAGAAGTAGTCATTTCGACCTGTCTTATTTTCGTTTGTACTTCTTATGCGTTATTACTTATCGCTATGCGACTGCCTGCAAGGACGTTAGATATAGTCCCAAGACACGAGAGGACAAGCATGTCCACTAACCTGATTGGTGAACGCCCTTTCAACAGTGTATATGTATATATAATACATAGACAGCTCGCTAAGAGTGCAACAGGTCGGACTCAGACAGCTGTTTCACTGTCACTACCGACCATCAGTACGTCATAGGCCTTATGAGGTGAGATATATACGCATAGGTTTGCTTGAATCTAGAGTCGAATTAGTATACACCCTATATTGCCTACGTGAAAGAGGGGAAGCTCTTCGGAAACATCGAGCTCTACCTAAGAATCCTCATGTTTGTGATGCCAACCCATCTTCATATGAAATGACCAACGAAAGGGTCAGAGTCTCTCAGTAGGAAGCTGAAGGACGAGATGATTGCATAAATAATGTGCAAGTTCAGGTGAATGGAGCACAGGGCTCCGGTTGACGTCATCAAGCCCATAATTCGCGGACGCAACTTGACTCTTCCGAGGAGCCTCCTCTTCTACATACAACGCATGCAGTTGGAAACAGAAATGGGCAGTGGAATTTGTGTGGAACGCCTGACTGAATAATGGTCCTCAGTTTCACGTATTCAGGTCGAGCTCCGTGGCCGATGGGCTTGGGAGCTGTTAGTTGGTGCCGTGGATGCGGCGTTTAAGCGACATTCCAGTGTCCAGCAATGACCATGAAACAGGTGTTTTGTCAAATGAGGATGACTTTCGCCAGTGTGTTCTGATTGCAGGACATACCGCGGATGATTTCGCCTTGTCCCATGTTTGAACCTCAAGGCCTCCCTACTTGGACTTGTAAAATGGCTGACTAATGACGGCCACTAAGTTAATAACTGTCAGTTTACTTACTCTACTTTTTGATTGTAAATCGGTTTAAATAGATGTTTTACCTGGCAACATTGCAAGCCCATTTTAGTTATTTTTTCGGCTGTCTCATATACTAGGCCGGTTGTGAGTGGTTGGATCCCATTCAAACGCCTAACCTGCCTGTCACATTATACTTCCTACAGTACTTATTTGATGATAGGGGCCGCTCATCGATCGTCCTTACGGAACGAGTGTGTTCCGTAAGGGCAAGTGGCTAATTAGCCAGAAATTGTCTGTCCAGTCTCCCTTGTCTTTGTCGGTAACGCCATTCTGCTTATATCATGCGCCGCTGTGCGGCTGCAGGGTTGGGCTCGAGCGAGACCCCGTAAGGCACAACGGAATGAGTGAGTTCCGTATGAAAGATCGGTGAGCGCCCCCTACTACTGTATATTTCCGATCGAAAACTGACAGGGCAACGGGCTCGTGGCCCAGTGGTTAGATGCGTGGACTTCTAACTAACATTTCACGAGTTCGAGCCACGGGTGTTGCACACTTCGGGGTTGCGTATGACTGGCTGACGACGGCTAATAAGCCAGAATTGCCATTCCAGTCTCCCTTGTCTTTGTCGTTAATGCCATTCAGTACTTATTTGCTATTCTTGGGTGCGAAATCTAGTGCACAATCGCTAGTGCTGACAACCATGAGCACTTGACCTGTGAGGGAATGTTCTTGAAACGTCCAAACTTAGGGGGTAGTTCGGAACTCGAGTATGAAGGCAGCATTATTTAGGGCGCAGAAAAGCATACTCAGAATTTAGAGTAAGAGAGTAACAGACACTTTTTTCTGATTTCCAGGTCATGTGCAATCACCGATGTAATTGTTCAAGAACGAAAATAAGTGTGCTTAGGCAGCATTGTATCGCCGGGTGGAACTGGCGATTACTGACTGAATCTTGTTTTCGCCGAAGAGGTTGTCACCTCTTTATATATCCTGACTGGATAATGTAGTGTTGAGGCTTGCGCTTTCTGTAGTTGCTTCAATCTAAATCCCCTACAAGTGGACACATGGAAACAGGTCCTGAGTAATCGCGAAGTTATCCTGTCGAAGGCGACAGAGAAGTGAACTTCTATTTTGGGTTCATTTGTCAGTATTAGCCAGAAATAGTCCTGCTCTAAAGTAAGAGGACATGAACATCAAACCCGGCCCTTTGGTCAGCGAAAATAAGGTCGAACATTTGTATCGAGCTGTGGAGGCATAGCCTATCTAATGTCCCTGAGAAAATCCGAGGTTAGATGAGGATGACGACAGCAAATTGGCCGTAATTGGTAAATATCGGTCGTGTTTTCATCCTTGCGGTGATCGCACACACTTTTGCTGCACAACTCTTCAAATACTAATAGAGAATATTAATCCGACACTTAGACGGGTGCATTGTTTAAGTGGTGCCTTAATCAATCATTATTGTCTATAATTCAAACATAATAACACTTCTCTGTACTCCGAATGCCTATTGGATATCATTTCGGTCACCAACGGCAATCCACCTCTCGAAAAATGTATCTTCTAAATTTGAATCGCTTCCATTGGATCAGTCAGTTTACGCACTGACAAAACTCTTCTCTTTTAGTCCTTTCGAAGAAAGTTTCGTTATTTACTGTAAAAACCGCCGGTTCTGACCAGTAGCACCAGAGCAAGGGTATTTTAACTCGCGGATTGAGCCCAATACTCTATCAGATTAGTCGGGGATTCAAAGTCTGTTGGCTTCGAAGGTCGCCCGGAAGTATCGTTTAGTGGTCTGGCCTTATCGCAGAAAAGGATATTGATTTGCCATCTTCCAATCGGTTTTTTTCGGCAAACACTGCCTCCATGTAAAGTTTACAGGCTCAACTGAAGGGCAAGGGTAGGAATACCAAAGAAATTACTCGAGTGGGATAATCCAGAGTGAAATATATGCCCCGTATGACTGATGTAAGAAGTCCATGCTATAGACCACTCCTGTCATCTCCGTCAGTTTCGACCAAATATATTCCGATTTGTCTCTTATCGGAGTTAACTTCGCACCGTCTAAGTAACTCCAAGACCCAAAGCACTTTCACACCACTTCCAGCAGGTAGCTGCACGTTGTATGATGAAGCAAGTCCTTTCCACCATCCACGCGGGAGCAGAATAATCCGTCGTTTACTGTAGACTTATTCACACCCTGCCCGTCACCTGTCATTCCAATGAAAATAAACAATCTCAACTGTTCGTCAAGCGTCATGCTAGTATGAGAAAATAACGCACTTCAGACAGCAATGAAGGACTCCCTTTCTTGAAGCACTGTCAAGCATGCTGGCTGTATGGGAACATTCACCTGGTACGAGTGGCTGGCTATTTTTGGGAATGAGACAGTTCCAAATTTACGGCTAATTATTAAGACAACCAAAGTACTTTTCATCACTTGACCCCTAAACCAGCCGCTGGGGGGAGGGGCGCGTGCGCGCACACCTAGACACTTCATTCAGACAAGAACACTTAGCCAAAGACAGAGACCGTCGTCTGGGGTGGAGGGCTATTCGAAACCGCGTAAAACAACACGCTCAGAGTTTTATTCAGGGGGTGATTTGGGCTAGAATGGAGTCGCGATGCAAATTTTTCATTGTCTGCCTGACTTGCCTAAAAGCCGCAACAGCGCTAATGCTGACCTTCTTCTCGAACATTTTCGGATCCATACAGGTGCCTCGGATAACCGCCGAACTTCATAAATTTATTCTTCGTCGGAATATGAAAATGAAGCAAGTCACCACATTCTAGACGTGGACACAGTGTTTATAATTCATCCTTCATGCAAAGTGAGATTGCATTTCTAGATGTTTTGATAAGTAATGAAAAAAGCGCATTACTTAATTAATTACTTCTGCATGTATTTCGATGTGTGCAATATGTTATTACCGACAAAGACAAGGGAGACTGGAATGGCCTTTTCTGGCTTATTAACCGTCGTCAGCCAGCCATACCCAAGCCCGAAGTGTGGAACACCCGAGCCTCGAACTCGCGACCTGTTGGTTTAGAAGTCAACGCCTCTACTCACCGGGCCAGGAGCCCGTTGCCCTGTCGGTTTCGATCAGTAATATACAATGGTAGGGGGCGCTCACCGATCGTTCATACGGAACTCACTCGTTCCCTTGTGCCCTACGGGCTCTCTCTCTCTCTCTTGTCGGTAATAACATACTGCCTATATCATGCGCCGCTGTGCGGCTACTGGCTGGGCTCGAGAGAGAGCCCGTAAGGCACAACGGAACGGGTGAGTTTCGTAAGAACAATCGGTGAGCCCCCCTACCATGATTTCGACGTGTGTTCTTTAGCTTGTACTCATGTCCCATGTTTCATTCGGCTTTTTGGGAATTGCAGGTAATGTTCATGAACATCAATGTTTCCTTACATCAACCAGATGGAAATTTTAGATAAGCCAAGCCAACGGAGGGATCTTGGACTCTATCCCTCACTGGATATATTTTAAGTAGTGGGACTTTTGCGCAAAGTACTATTCCCTTCTATAAATTTTTAGAAAAAAAGCAAATTCGGATTAGAATAAGCTAACTGTCAATAAATTCAATAAAACTGCAACTACATTTTCCTTTATTTTGCACAGTGGTGTATATGGGGATATGAACGTGAATTAAGAATATTATAGCATTTGTAGTTACGATGGAGATATCCACCATAAATACACGTAGGTAGTTATAGCCGATTTTCAGACCTTTTTAAGACGATAAACATTGTT